ATTTCGTCCGTGTGAAGCGGAGACAAAAGGAACGGAGATGTATATGCTGTGGTCCAATCGGTGGTTTGATGTCCAAGTCTTGAGAAATCCTTGAGATTAGGCCAGGGACATGAAATGCAGATACTGTGATGCCAAGATCAAACACCGCTTGTTGCAATCAGGCTTCAACGCAAANCGGCTCTAATACGAAGATGGCAGATTAACATTGTTTGACGATGGTATGAGAAGTCGTGAGACTGACTAATCCGTCTGGACGACTTGTGACACTGTTCTTTGTCTGCGCATACAAACACGCGCACAGCCATGCTCACTTGTGGCTTCAATCAGAGCGTGACGCATACGGTGTGCAGTTAGTTGGTTAGTTTGGATCACGTGATCATTTTTGTGTCGGCCGCACACGTATCCTCGCTGTCCAGTTTTTAGGATGTGCTGAACACGGAATGGCTGGCCTTCTGCGCCGAAAGCCGGCTTAACGACGCTCTTTCGGTTTCCCCAACCTAATCGTGCATTGTTGTCAGGACTCAGATGCTGTTATTGGGGTTTATATGGTGTTTCAGTTTGGAGATGTGGTCCGTACAACATCGACCAGGTCTACAACCACTCTGTTTCTCACACATGCTCCCTTCACGTCTGGCAGCATATGGTGCCAGACAATTTTGATCAAGCGAATTCCTCTGTGATTTTCGTTAGAAAATCTGTTTGTTAATCGGTATGACGACCGATTCCTCTCGGATACCGAACCTAGGAGTTTCATCCACTTCCAAACCAGCGCTGAACTTTCATCCTTAGAAGCCGATCGGACAGCCCATCTGGGCCGGAGACTTTATCACTTTTGAGAGAACCTATTTTTCGGGAAACATCCGTTTCGGATGCAGGACTAGCATCTACTGGGAGTATTTGCCCAGTCGAGGAAGGAGGCTGATAGGTCGGACGTCGATGTCGACCGAAACAGCGTTCCCAATGGCGAATCTGAGCCATCGAGTTCCATGATTTGCCTGTTGCACATATGCACTCCACCTGTTAGAACTAAGCAAACAGAATCACGTGAGGCAACCATAGTGATTGGTCCATACTGTGGACTGGACCAGTCGTATTATTCATCAACGGTGGTCTCATGATTTCAAGTACATTTCAACACCTAAATGCCCTTGCAGCAGTATGCGACTCTGTTATCTCTGGTCAATAATGTTAGTTGTGCATACCCTTTGATTCTGTTTCATTTTGACCTTGATAGACTAATAATATGACGTATTAACCATTGATTGTATTCACCATAACATCTAATCAAAAACGATTGGCTATAGTCTGATTAACTGCCCTAAACACTTAACTACTATCTTGGGGGTAAAGTCGATCAGTATCATATTACCAGGGTGATTGAGAGATAATTAAAAGGC